TGCTTCATGCTTAGGTTAAAATTAATTATTCTCGGTTTCTATTAACTCCTCTTGGTTTCGATGCTGCAATGCTACACAATCGCCAAAGTTAATAAAACATCAAGATCTGAACACCCTGCCAAGGTGGTTCCGGCCTGGTACTGGTTTGAAGGTGCACAGCCCCCTCAGCTGTGCAGTTTCACAGGGGAAAGCAGGCTTCGCTGAGCAGCTTACAGTCAGGGAGTTTCCTTTAGCATTCTTCTATTCCATGCACTTCTTGGCTCAGCGTACTGGCATCTCCAGGGTCGAAAGTCCACCAGCTGCAGCTTATCCCCTGAGCAGGGCGGCTCAGGCTCTAGCGTGGCGTCTTTTAACTTTCCTTCATCCCAGTGCTATTGGACCATCTCCCAGTGACTGGGCCATCTCTTCCAGAGCTTGGATCACCTCCCAGTGCTTGGTCCATCACCCAATGGTTTCACCATCTCCTAAATGGTGGTGCCATCTCTCCCAGCGGTTGGACCATCTCCCAGTGCTCATTCTGCACTCCCAGTGGTGGCACCGCTCCTCCCAGTCATCCCAGTTGCCCTCCTCCTCCTCCTCACCTCAACTTCTCTTTCCAGGAGCTACTGCTACAGTGGCCACAACTCCAACCCCCCCAGCCCCACCATCCCACCATCGGCCACCGAGCACTGCTACTTCACCAACTCCACCTTCCAGTTCCGGGGGTGCGTGGGGGTCCTGGTGTACGAAGCGGACGACTTCACCTTGGCCATCCTCTTCTCCAACCCCCTTGACTACAACATCTTCTATGTGGAGCTTGCCGTGGAGATCTCTTTGGAAAAAGCCCACCTTGGTGTCTCCTTGGAGCACGTCTACACCAGGATGTACAGCGGTCAACCGGCCACCGATGGCAAAGAGCTCAAGTTCCACCGGGTCAAGCTTGACGCGTGCCAGGAGCCCGTCACCGTCTCCGCCGGCCACGTGAAGGTCATGGCCAGCATGTCCAACGCCGCAAAGTCCATCGTCAAAGTCATCGTGGAGGATCGAGACGTTCCCACCTCCTACATCTAAAGGAGGCCAACCCTTCTCCCTGTTGGTGTCCGCCAACTTTCTGCCCTCAATAAATGGTTGAACAAAGCCCGCCTCGTGCTGTGGTGTCCTAAGAAGCCCATGTAGGGTGGAAGATGCTGCTTCTCTCTCCTAACCCCCTTTTTTACCAGCTTGGAGGATGATGCCCTGTTGAGCATTGAGGAAGAACGTGGGTTGAAGGTCCTGTGGGCACGGTTGGGTAGGTTTGGCTCCAGTTGTTGATGGAAACCTGGAGATCTTTCTGATTGGTGGTGATGTTTGACCATCTGAGGGGTCCTGGTGTATGGGGTAGACACCTCACTGTTGGCCATCGTCTTCTCCAAGCCCCTGGAGGTTTTCTACAGGGAGGTCGGGTTCAGAAGATCTAACCCAGCCCCACATCTATCAGAACAGCCCTCCATGGTGAATGGGGGGGGTCACCAGGGTTGGGGTTCACCTGGGTTTTGGGGAGAAGAAGGGTGGGAAGGGTTGGCAAACCTTCCTTTCCATCCTTTGGTCCTTCTTGAACATCAGATGGGACCTTCGGTGAACCTTCCTGTGGGGAAAGACCCACCAGGGCGATCATCTGCCATGCTTGGGAGCTGTGGGTTGGGGGTCTTCAAGGTCGGGGGACTCTAAGGTGGGGGGACTCAAGGGTTTGGGTCCCCAAGGTTGGGGGACTCCAAAGTTTGGGTCCCTGGGCTGGGGTTTCCAAGGTCCGTGGCTCCCAAGGTTGGGAGTCCCCAGGGTTGGGGTCTTCAGGGTTGGAGTCTTCAAGGTTGAGGGTCGTCGATATTTGGGTCCTCAAGTTCGGGATCTCCAAGTCTGGGGTTCTCCAAGGTTGGAGTTCCCAAGGTTGGGGTCTTTAGGGTTGGGATCTCCAAGGTTGGGGCCTTCAAGGTTGAGGTTCCCAACGTTGAAAGTCTCTAAATTTGGGGGTCTCCAAGGTTGGAGTCCTCAAGGTTGGGGTCCCCAAGGTCGAGATCTTCAGAGCTGGGGGTGTCCAAGGTTGAGGGTCCCCAGGAGTGTTTCAGGGGGTCTTCAGGTTTGGGATCTCCAAGGTTGGGGTCTTCAGGGTTGGGGGCCTTCAAGGTTGAGGTTCCCAACGTTGGGTGTCCAAGGTTGAGGGTCCCCAGGAGTGTTTCAGGGGGTCTTCAGGTTTGGGATCTCCAAGGTTGGGGTCTTCAGGGTTGGGGGCCTTCAAGGTTGAGGTTCCCAACGTTGAAGGTCTCTAAATTTGGGGGTCTCTAAGGTTGAGGTCTCCAAGGTTGGAGTCCTCAAGGTTGAGGTCCCCAAGGTCGAGATCTTCAGAGCTGGGGGTGTCCAAGGTTGAGGGTCCCCAGGAGTGTTTCAGGGGGTCTTCAAGGCTGAGGTCTCCACAATTGGAGGTCCCTAAGGTCCCGTGGTCCCCAGGGTGGGAGTCCCTGACGATTCACAGACTCACAGCATGGTGGGGGTTGGAGGGGTCCCCTGGAGAGTTCCATTGCTTGCTCCAGCACCTGAAGGACCTGTAGGAACCACGGGAAGGGATTTTTTTTTTTATTGTATGGAATTATGGGACTGAGAGGAGACCACTTTTAATTGGCTCCTTCGTTCTTCATCAGCCCCACATTGATTGAACACTTAAGGAACCTCGTTAATGACCAATTAAGACTCAGTAATTGGCTTAATTCCCGCCTCGTCAGGAATTTTGAAAGAGGGCGAGGACCCAAACCGTTGGATGGGTCAATTAAGTATAACGCTAATTATGAAGCCAAATAATTAACTCTAGAACTAAGTACTAATTGCAATAATTAACTATAACATTAAGTGGGTATTGCAATAATTGACTCTAACGCTAAGTATGAATCTCAGTAATTAACTCTAGAGCTAAGTAGGAATTGCAATAATTATAGTGTCAAGTGTGAATCGTGATAATTAACTCCAGCATTAAGTACGAATCGTCCTAATTAACTCTAGAGCTAAAGAAGCAGAGGCAAACGCAGAAACGGGGAGGGGAAACGGCGTTAGCAGAAGAAATTGGAGGGGGAAAAAGAAGCTAGCAGAGGATGGTTTCGATCCATCGACCTCTGGGTTATGGGCCCAGCACGCTTCCGCTGCGCCACTCTGCTTCTTGGGGGTAAGGAGCGGAAGTATTTGTAGAAAATAATTATTTTTGGCTCAAAAAACCGGATTCGGAAGAATTCCCTTCCGCTACTCAGCGCGGTTGTGGTGCTCCAAGGTGGGGAGGGTGGGAAAAAAATAAAGGTGAGAGGGTTCCCCCCTTCTCAGCTGGGTCCTTAATTTTCCCCTTAGAGCCCCCCACCAAAAGTTTCGGTGGGGGTCTCAAACCTCCCCCACCAGCTGGAGATGCCGGGGATTGAACCCGGGACCTCATACATGCGAAGCATGCGCTCTACCGCTGAGCTACATCCCCGGCGCGCGCCCCGCGCCCGCCGCCCCTCTTGGCACCGCCTTCCCCGCCTCCTTTTCCCGCTAAACCACGCCCCTCTCCCCGAAGCCCCGCCCCCCC